TTACAAAATGTTCTTTATCTCTCTTCCTTCTCGAGAATTTTCTATCCCAGATTTTGCCTTTCTAGTTTCATCCTTACCACCTCCACTTCTGTTACTTGGTGATTTTAACGCCCACCATTTCCTCTTGGGGGGGGGGGGGTCTCATTGTGACTCACGAGGCATCCAGTTGGAGGCTTTTCTCGCCTCTCACCCCCTCCATGTTTTAAATACGGGTACTCCCCCCATTTGATCCTCGTACTCATACTCTCTCTTGCATCGATCTATCAGTCTGCTCTTCCTCCACTGCACTAGACTTCACCTGGTCTGTTCTACCGGACTTACATGCCAGCGATCATTTTCCAATCATTCTTACTTTTCCTTCCTATTCACCACCTTTCTGTAACCCTCGCTGGCAATTTGATCGGGCAAATGGGACCTTTACTCGCAAACTCACTGCTTTTAGTGAGGTTCCTTTTCATCCTCCCTTGATGAGCTCCTACCCTCTTCTCGACGTCAGTTTATACCGCAGCTTCTCATTCTATACCCCAAACCTCAGCAGGCATTCTCAGAAGTGCGTGCCTTGGGGCTCCTGCTTTTGCTCGTGCAGTACGTTTGAAACGCGCTGCATGGGGCAGGAAATGGTACAATTGAACCGCTGGAGACTTTTGATTTTTAAACAGAAGCGTGCGACCGCTCGCCGGTGTCATCCGTGAAGCTAAACGCACTTACTGGCGAGAACTATGTTTTCCACCATCACCTCTGCTTCTTCTGAGTGCAGTCTGGAAAAAAGTGAGGAAATTGATTGGTAAATACTCTCCTGACCCGGCTCCTGTTCTACGGGTCGCTGGTGTTGATGTAGCAAACCCTCTCAACATTGCCATTGAACTTGGCACACATCTGGTCCGTATTTCCCGGGGGCTCCATCTATGCCCCTCGTTTCTTTCCTCAGTCTGCCAGAGAGTTAGTACCCTTGGACTTTTCTTCTCTCAGAGAAGAACAGTATAATGTACCTTTTACACGTCAAGAACTGGAGGCAACACTCTCAGCTTGCCGATCATCGGCAGCTGGGCCTGACGACATTCATATTCATATGTTACAACATTTACATCAGTCAGCCCTTGTAGTCCTCTTACACCTCTTCAATCTTATTTGGGCACAAGGGTTCTTCCCCAGCTGTGGAAATCTGCCATTGTTCTCCCTTTCCGCAAACCGGGTACTACAGGACATGATGTCTCCCACTATCGTCCCATCGCTCTTACTAGTGCAGTTTACAAAGTGATGGAACGTCTCGTAAATCAACGTTTAATGTGGTATTTAGAGGGCGCACAACAGTCTCTCCGCTAGTCAATATGGCTTTCGTAAGGGCGTTCTACCATTTGACCCTTACTGCTTGGATACGTATGTTTTGTAATGCCTTTGCGAATAATCACTCGGTTATTGCCATATTTTTTGACCTTGAGAAGGCACATGACAACTTGGAGGTATAATATTTTGGCCCAGGCCCATTCCTTAGGCCTCCGAGGCAATCTACCATCCTTCCTTAAGAACTTTTTAACTGACAGACATTTCCGTGTTCGAGTCAATAATGTTCTTTCCCCGGACTTCGTCCAAGCTGAAGGTGTCCCTCAGGGATGTGTTCTTAGCACAACACTTTCTCCTTGCTATAAATGATTTGGCCTCTGTTCTTCCACCCAATATTTGGTCATCACTATGTTGATGACTTCGCTATTGCTTGTGCAGGCGCTGACTGTCATCTCATTGCAGTTTCTCTCCAGCATGCTGTCGAACGTGTTTCCACTTGGGCCACCACGCATGGGTTTAAATTTTCAAGTACCAAAACTCACCAAATTACTTTCACTAACGCTATGTCATCTCCGATCATCCTTTGTATCTCTCTGGCTCCCGTATCCCCAAACGTGATACAGTCAGGTTTCTAGGCCTTCTCTTTGACCGTAGGTTATCCTGGAAACCTCACATTACCTCTCTGAAGGCAACTTGTCACAGCCGGCTTAACCTTCTTAAAACCCTTGCTCATCTTTCCTGGGGAGCTGATCGTCGAACTCTGCTTCGCCTACATTCAGCCCTCGTTTTATCGAAACTCGATTACGGTGACCATATTTATTCAGCGGCCTCTCCTGCTACTCTCTCTAGCCCTTTAAACCCCATCCATCACCAAGGATTTTCGTTGTGGGCCTTGGTGTTTTCGCTCTTCCCCTGGTTGAGAGCCTCTATGCAGAAGCGAAGTTCCATCCTTGTCTGGGTCGCCGTGATGCCCATTGCCTTCGCTACTATGTACACTCTCACGATCTCCACAATCCTTCCATTTATATAATGCTCACCGATATTAGTAGACATTCTTTATTTGTTCGCCGCCCGTTTGCTCTGTCCCTTTTCTCTTCGCCTACATTCGCTCTTGTCTTCCCTTCAGTTACCACCTTTATTTGTTCATGTAGCATCTCACTTTTCCCTACCCCCCTGGGAAGTTCCAGCTGTTCGGATCTGTTCTTTCTCACTCCCTTGCTCGAAAGCTGCCCACGGTGGCTTCCCGCTCTCTTTTTCTCGATCACTTCCACTCCCATTCTCATGCCATCGCTGTGTACACAGATGGCTCTAAGTCTTCAGACAGTGTCGGATTCGCAGCAGTGTTTCCAGACAGCGTCGTGTGGGGGCATTTACTATCTTCGGCTACCCTTTTTACTGCTGAATTGTAAAGCCATCTTGCAGCACTTATTCGTATCGCATCTATGGGCCCGTGTCATCATTTGTGGTAGTCTCCGACTCCCTTAGTGGGTCTACAGGCTATACGAAATTTGATACATCTCGCCCCCTAGTTCTCCGTATCCAACTTTGGCTACGCCATATCTCTACCAAGCATAAAGATATTTTTTGTTGGGTCCCTGGTCATGTCGACGTACAGGGCAATGAACAGGCAGACACTGCTGCATGGTCAGCAGTACATGACCTACAAATTTCCCATAGAGGTGTTTCCCTTTCTGGGGCTATTTTTCTGCAATAGCTACCCACCTTCACACCCGTTGGCAACAACGTTGGTCAACTCTGCTTGGTAACAAACTTCATTCTATTAAACCGAGCATAGGTTATTGGCCGTCTTCTTGTCATCGGTGCCGTGGTTGGGAGACCACTCTCTCCCGCCTTCGCATTGGCAACACTCGTCTACTCATGGGTATCTTTATGGGAGGCACCTGTCCTCTCTGAGGCAGTGTCAAGTTCCAGTATCGATTAGCCACATTTTGTTAGATGCCCTCTCTTTCAACGAGCACGCGGAATTTACCTCCAACGCCGTCTTCGTTCTACTACTCTCTCTTTACCTTCCCTTCTTGCTGATGGACCCTCCTTTAATCCTGACTCTCTCATTGACTTCTTGACAACGACTGATTTACTCCACAAACTCTGATGATGATACCTTACGCACTCCCCTCAGCCCTTTCTAGCTCAGTCTCTTGCTGCCCTAACCTATTACTCATCCACCTCCCTTTTGCCACCTCATGCCCTCGCTTCCTTCCTGCCCTGCAGCGCTGTATAGCCCTTGTGGCTTAGCACTTCTTTTTGATTATAATAATAATAATACTTACCTAATTAATATTTTTCCTGTTCTATAGGAATGCTTAAAGAATATAAAATGCAAAGAGAAATATACAGCACATGGATCTATGAAATATTCATGCATCTTTCAGTACACTGTTTGTTGGTATAGGTATAGCTGGCTTAGTGCTTCTGTTTGATATAATAATAATAATAGGTATAGCCAGTGCCTATGTTTGGTTCAATTTGGTGAGGAAATATAGTTTACATTATTACAGATGTTGGGTTATTAACGTGTAGTGAGGATATGTGATAAATTCCACTACATTCAACTTTGCCAACTAAGCTGTACTTGTCATGGGGAAGGGCTATATCTACGGGAATCCTGCAGCATATACAGGAATAGCAGGCAAAAAATCAGATTCAGTCCAGAGGAGGGTAGCTCCAATTTTATGGCTCAAGAGCCTTAACTGTTGTCAAGGCACATACCTTTAAGGGTTAAGAGAGCTGTACACATTATGCACTTGTTGAAAATATTCGAGGGTTATAATGATACAGCACTTAAAATAAAAGAATAAAAATATATTTCTCTGTTATTCAAATTGAATAAAACTGTATTCAATGTTATAACACTAACACACAATAACTGGAAACTGCTTTATAACCTTTTGGAGAATTAACACCAAGGGAGAACTCACATCTTCAACTGATATTTCCATATACAGTACTATGTAGTATATTGCAATTTCATAGTCAAAGCAGGCACAGCCAAAAACTTTGAAATCGTCAATTAAAAAAAAAAAGGGGGGGGGGGGCACTAAATGGGTTATAGAAAATCATAGGTAAATATACACAGGGGTTAGTACAAATAATTTAAAGAAGGTAAATGCCCTAACTGGTTATGTTAAGGACCATCATCCTATCTATAGTGCAGTATATATAAAAAAAAAAAAAAAAATTCAGTAAAAATCAGGTAGCCACTTACTAATGTGGTTTCTAGACATGTTTTCCTGGGAAAAGATAAAGATCCATTCATCTTTTCTTTGTTATAGAGTACAATATGAAACCTTGTCTATTTAATTCAAATCCTTGTTCATCTTGCTTCCTGTCACGGTAGATGATTACTTGGCATAGTCTTGCATATATTTGGTAGAAATTTTATGGTTAAAATATCTTGGCAGATTTCTGAAAAGTCTATGCTTAGAATTATGCAAGATATATGGTATACAAGACAGCATTAACCAGATACAAGATATGAATAATACAATTTGGTATTTTTAATTTTTAATACATTTCATACAAAAAAAATTTATGAATAATACAATATTTACAGCCAAGATCATTCTAGGCCAGTGTTTCTGCTGGTTCAACTCCAGGTACTCAATGTAAATGAGCACTGTCAGTAGCAGAAATAAAAAGAATGGAAATCTTATGTACAAAAGGTCAACATACAAAAGTATAAAAAAGCTAACTTTGCACTGCTTACACTTAGGAAGAAGATTTCAGGTTAATAGCATCTCTATCAATTACTTCTACTCAGGTTACACTTTTTTTTTTTTTTAACTATATTAACATTTATGTTCTAATGGAGATCCAATTGTATCTAATTCTTAAAATTTACATCTTGCACATACAAGAATTACAGTAAAAACAATGAACGACTAGTAGTTTATGAAAAGGAGCAAGTCCATGTTCAATTATTAATCCTTGCACATGATCTCAATTTTAAGCTCCTATTAGGAAAGTAGTTTACAAATAATAACAGAAATAAATAAGCAAAGAAATAATAAATTATTTTACCAGTAAAGAAAGGACAGGTCAATACTGGTTTTTTTTTTTTTTAAATTTCAAGGAATGGGTTTCAAAAAGTACAAATAATGGCCCAAATTTGACCATGCCACCAAGGAAAATAGAGGAATGAAGACAATGATTAATACCAAGAATACTTCACTAAATATAATATATAGTGAGAGCTGATACCAACCACTGCTGTCCCTGAATAGCAGTTGTAAAAGTTAACTAACTAGTCTCCCTCTTTTTTAATCCCCTAAGGGAAAGACTCTTACTTGCAGACATGGAGCAGGTTTTTCTGTGGCAAATATTAAAAAATTATTCTTCTAATTAAATACGCTAAATATGGTTTACTTTAATAAACAAAAAAAATCTTTTATAGACTGGGTTAAATCTACAATAAAATCAACATTAAAAAAAATATATATAGTACCAGTGATCCACAGTACTTAATTTGCTGATTGACTGCCTATTTATATGAATCACTGCAAATAAAACATACTAAAATAATAAGTCATTCAATTTAATCACTAAAAGTTATTGTAAAATAATCTGGCCACAGAGTACCTATGCTCCTGCTATCATACTATTACACACTCTCAGGTACATAAGTTTGCCCGGTCTCAGTTAAAAGAATTATCACAGGACTCGGACAATGTTTCAGTTGTAAGGGTGCAGCAATAGTTTGCAATCCCATTACATCACATTCATCAGCCGAGACTTGCCATAATGTTTTTCGCACCTTGTTTATGCCTCACAGAAGGGCACAGTTGCCTTCTCCTTACAACCTATGGTTATTGGTTATCACAATTTATATACAGTCATTTTTAAGATAAAGGTACAGATATCATGGAATACTAGGTCACAATTTGCACTATGAGGAAGAAAGTAATGAATATAGGAGTATTTTAATACTTTTCATAATGAATCAAATGTGAATTAACAGAGCACCACCCAGGAAGAATACCCTAATGACATGAAAATTATTACTGTTGACACCTGAACAGCAAACAAAGGAAAGTGAGTGATGCCAAAGTACATGTTCAAATAGGTAAAACAAATATTTAATTTTTTTTTTAATACAGGACATCATGTAAAATAAGTGGAAGATTTTCATGCATAATGGCATTTCTCCAGAACACGCAACACATTACCACAACAATCATCCATTACATTTTTCTTGTTTCACGCTAAAAAAAAAAATGAAATTTTAACAATGCCTACAATGACTATTACGACAACAATCATTCATCATGTGTTATTCTTACACATCACACTTAAAAACTGACATTCTAATAATGCCTACAATGATTGTAAACTCTTATACTTCCATTATTTCTGATAATCAAGCATACTAACTATTGTAAATTACACCTCGGATTCACTCGGGGAGAAGTCTAATAACTTTTGGACGAACAAAGGAAAAATAAACCCTTTTAAGGATGATGTATTAATGAGAGGAAAAAATGATGCCACTTACTAATACAGTAAAAATTGTCATCTAACTATGATAACTTGCCATTGGTGAGGACAAGTCTATTAAGTGTATGCTGCTGATGAGGAGATGAAATCGTTGGCGTGTACACATAATTGGCACGCATAGTGGCAGACCTGAGTGGAGTTACGCCTGGCAGCTTGCGAACAACCAGGCCACGTGGAGAGGGACTTGCTTGGATAGGCGACTCACTCTCTATCTTTATTTCATTTCCAAGATCATCAACCAGAGCACCATTTGACTATCAAAAAGTAAATTTAATAATTTGTTTTATTATACAAGAAAAAAATCAAAATTATTTCTATAATTTCATATATGGTATACCGATAGACAATCACCATGCATAGTAGGTTGTGAACATTACCTGCAGACTAATTTCTGTCATGGTTGAATCAGGAAGGATGTACTCAGGCTCCTCAGAAGAGGTAACAGAGTTGCGCTTTAAAGACTGCGCTGTAAATGTAGATCGAGCATTTGTGTGGGTAGACGGAGACTGGGCAATACTTGTGGATAGAGAACGGCCATTTTGCAGTGACTGTCTTATGTGCTGCTGTTGATTACTGAGAACTGTTTGGGCTCCCCTCTGATTAGAAGTTATGATGGTTGATGAAAGGGGATTCAATATCTGAAGAATGTTACACACTTTAAATTGCATTTAAATTTTTCATTTATCCCCCCAACCCCATTTTTCATAAGATTGAGATAATAAAGCAAGCAGCTTCATATTTTTATATTTTAGGTTCAATTGTGTATTTCCTTAGTCAAGACAATTTAAATTTTTTTAACACCCTGCTTGTCTCCCACCAAGGCAGGGTGACCCAAAAAAGAAACCTTCCGTCATTCACACTATCAAATTATAATACCAATTATTAATTCTGCTGGAATGATCCCCTCGTAACTAAATGAACTCGACTGAGTCATCGGTGCAGTATAGGGGACTATATGGTTTACAATAAATGCTAGGGCTTTATAAAAAAATTGTTTTAACACTAAATACACAAGACCAACTTTCACAAGGTTAATAGAAATGATCACAGTGCAGGTCATTCTACATTTGTGTATCAAGATACGAAGTTATGAACCAGGGAATTTCAACACCAAGCACAACTAAAAGCATGCTACTTTTTATTCTAAAGAAATACGAGTAAAAAAAAAATTAGCTGCACCATCTCACTTCGACAAAGCCCTGCATACCAATTAGAATTTTTTTTTTTTGTATTCAGAAGAAAAAACTTAAATTCTACTTCAAATATTATGCATAATAAACAACCTCAGCTTACCTTCACTGTCCCAACTGTAGGAGTGATAGGGGTGTCAATTGCCAGAGGATCAACTTCTTCATCTTCGTCTTCATCTTCGCTACATGACGAAACACCTCCATTTGACTCAAATTTCATTTCACCTCGTTCTAATGCCTCCAGCACTTCTATAAAGTTAAAGCATGAGGTTATTAGCATTAAACAAATCACAAGTATATATAAAATAGAAAACATTAAAAATTGCTAAGGTAAAGGATACAAATATTATGAGGTACTGTAAAAAAAAACAATATTTATATAAACAACACTCCATATACTATAATGTCATTTTCCGTGTAGTATACAGAAAGTGGACGTGTGTTATTCCCTGTAAGCGAACGCATTTTATTCCTGTCAGTCAGGCAGTGGCCAGGACAGGAGCAGATGAGAAGAATGTTTAGTTCAGTACCAGACGGGTGGTCACGGGGTAAAGTCATCATGTTTGGACAGTTGACCGAGTAGGTGATTTTGGCAAGTTTTTTTTTTTAGTGTATACTATAGGTGTTTAAGTGCTCTCATGTTTATTTGTAAAGCCCTTGTATGCAAGGGCCTGTGTTTTGGAGAGTATTTAACATTTCCACTGTAGGCTAAGTAGCCTGCAGAAATAGGGGTGTCCTTGAACAAAATAAATGAACATTTATGAACAACTCATTAGCAGCAGTGTGCTAGTGAGCTAATGCAAACTTGAGCATATGACAAGTTGTTGGAGTGTAAGCAGGGTAATATTTAGTGAGGGATTCAGGAAAACCAGTTACACCTACCATCCGAACCGAGTTCCATTCCGAGAAACCAGTTGTAAGTCGAAATGGACGCAAGTCGAACTTGACTACTGAATATCAACATCACATTTTTGTAATGACTATTTTATTGTTTTATTTTGGTATTTCATGTTTTACTTTACTTTTTATGCTGTTAGTACTGTATTTTATACTGTAAGGTTTAGGATAAACACTGCGTACAACACAAATAGTTGTTTATTTCCCAGAAATTTGGCACAAAAAACACGGTCATAAGTCGATTGGTCGTAAGTCGGATGGTAGGTGTATTTTTATATAGCTGGACTAGAGTACTGGAAATGGGAATTACAATGCTGCACCTTAAAGGAGGGGTTTGGGATATTGGCAGTTTGGAGAGATATGTTATACATTTTTTTTTTTTTTTAAACAAGTCGGCCGTCTCCCACCAACGCAAGGTGACCCAAAAAAAGAAAGAAAATCCCCAAAAAGAAAATACTTTCATCATTCAACACTTTCACCTCACTCACACATAATCACTGTTTTTACAGAGGTGCTCAGAACAACAGCTTAGAAGCATATACCTATAAAGATACACAACATATCCTTCCAAACTGCCAATATCTTATATATGCTTCTAAACTGTTGTATCTGGGTACCTCTGCAAAAACAGTGATTATGTGTGAGTGAGGCAAAAGTGTTGAATGATGAAAGTATTTTCTTTTTGGAGATTTTCTTTCTTTTTGGGTCACCATGCCTCAGTGGGAGAAGGTTGACTTGTTGAAAAATCAATAAATATAAATGGGAGACAAAAATAAAAAATACTCTCCTGAGCCCGCCATTGGGCCAGGCTCATCTGTGCTTGCTGGTCAAACCAGGCTGTGCTGCTGGAGGCCTGCAGCCCCACATATCCATCACATCCAGGCTGATCTGGCAACCTGTGAAGATACTTGTCCAGTTTTCCTTTGAAGGCTTCTAACACTTGTTCCAAACAGTGTTTCTGATATCTTCTGGTAAGGATGTTGAAAAGATCTGGACCCCTGGATGTATAATACAGTGTTCCCACACAGTCCCCACTGCAACCCCTGCTCCTCACTGGTTTATTTTGCACTTCCTCCCAATATCTCTCACTCAGTATGATGTTATGGCAGTGTGCAGATTGGGACCAAGCCCTCCTACCTTCCAGATTATATTATCATGTACCTCTCCGTCTCCTCCGCTCCAATGAGTACATTTTCAAAATGCATGCTTCAGAAATTAAGTGCGTTAACTGGGCTTTAATGCGAACCCGTAAACCGATCTCTGTATGATCCAGTCTCCGATATTTCCCTGCCTTGAACGGGGCATCCGCACTGAGCAATATGCTAAGGTGAGGAGAGCACTAGTGATTGAAGAGTGTCCACCATGGCATTATTTACCTTTGCAAACAGTATACAATACCGACCAGATGAAAGTTAAGACACTTTGTCAGCACCTGGTTATCTTATGTAGACGTTCAAATGGGGAAAGACAAGGTCGGAGCTAACGCACGAGAAACAGATCTACATTTGGACAGTAAGTGTTTTAAAGATGATGAATGGCTCCCATTGTCGGTTCCGCACTACCAACACATACAACAGCTGCTGAGTTTAGTTTCAGTCCATCAGAAATGTTTAATCTTGGCAATCTCCTTTCCATGCCGACTGGGAGTCACATAAGCGAGATATTCAGTGCCTAGGCTCCACCATGATGACGTAATCAACTTTCACCACTGACTTTGGGCACCATTTCTTGACTTCCTCGTTCTTATCATTACACAAGTGAGGTCGCTACCACACAAAAACAGTGATGTATATTTTCGCCAGTTTGCTAACTCATTTTCTTGCCTCTCCATTCGGTATTTGGTGTCCTGGCATCTCCATAATTTCTGTGGTCCAATAACTTTGCCTTTGTCGTCCTTGGTGATAAATGCCAGTCCCAATTAACGTGGCGGTAGCAATGCAGCTCCAGCATACTCAACAGAGAACGTAGTTAATATTTATAATACTACTGCAGAGTACATACAGTACATAAACACTGCGCTCAGCTACTCATAACAGTGACCCCCGGTATTCGATGGCATTGGTATTCGATAAAATCCGGTATTTTCGATGCATTATATCGCAAAAATTTTCCTCGGTATTCGTTGAAAAACCCGGTATTCGATACGAATCGTACGAGACCTGTCCACAGTGGGCCCCTGAACTGCCCATTGTGTGCCAGTGTTTACAAGCCAGCCAGTGTATGCCGCGCAATCTAAGGATACATTCCAAATTATCCACTGTGTATAGGTGCTTGTTTCTGCAAAAATAAGTCATACCATGGGCCCCAAAAAGCTTCTATGTGCCAAACCCTGTGTAAAAAGGGTGAGAATTAGTATGGAAATAAGAAGAATTTTTGAAGGTTTGGGCTAACCTGAGAAACCTAATGCCAGTTGTGGAACCCCTTGTGCCTACTTCCAAATAAGGAAATGAGAGCACAGTGAGTTGAAGTGCAAACCTATATGGATGACAATCACCCTAACACAGCTATTGGCAAGCCTGCTGTGACTATTACAATGACGATGTTGTGGCCCATTTTAGACAAATCAGAAAGAAAACAGGAGGTACAGAGCTCTATGGACAGATTGTTGTGCGACAGAGGTCCCAGTGACTCTCGAAGCTGGTCCTAGATGGCATTAAAAGAAGAAGGAGTAACCCCCGTAAAAGACATCTACCTCAAGTCCAAATGGCAGGGGATTCCCCTTCTAAACACTAACACCTCTCCTCTCCTCCATCCCATCATCATCACCAGATCATCAATAAGAGGAAAGTGTCAATTATTTAATTGTTATTGTAAATATTCTAATTGTAATCATACATTTGGGTGTCTTGCACTATTTAATTTGAATTCCATTATTTCTTACGAGAAAACTTAATTCTGTTTTCGATATTACGTATTCGATGAGGTCTCAGGAATGGATGAATATCGAATACCGGTGATCCACTGTAATACAGACATTTAACCTTTCAGGGTCCGTACCCTTATATTTACGGCTTTATTTCAGGGGTCCAAACCGTAGATCTACGCCATGAAGCACAGCAAACTCTGATAAACTGAGAGAGGAACTCTAACATGAGCCTCACTAACCTCGTAAAAACTCTGCACAGCTTCAGTAACCTACCACCTACACCATACACCTGCAACATCTGCCACACTGTCATACGCCTTTTCCAAATCCATAAATGCCACAAAGACCTCTTAGCCTTATCTAAATACTTTCACTTATATGTTTTCACTGTAGAACACCTGGACCACACACCCCTACCTTTCCTAAGCCTCCTTTTCATCTGCATCCTATCTCGTGTTACGTTTAATTCTTTCAATAAAAACTACCATACACTTACCAGGTATACCAACAGACTTATCCCCCAATATTTTTTTGCACTCCTCTTTTGTCCCCTTTGCCTTTATACAAAGGAACTATGCATGCTCTCTGCCAATCCCTAGGTACCTTACACGCTCTCCAATACATTATTAAATTAATTGCACCATATATATAGTAAATATATATACAGTAGGGCCCCACCCACTTATACGGCAGGTTGTGGTCCAGCTGTCGCCGAAACAGACCATCGCCAGAAGGCAGAACTTCCATTTTTTTCCCTTTAAAAATCATATAAAATGCCAACACAGTTTTACACTAAATTATAATAAGTTTTAGTAATAGAACTAGGCATTAAAAACACAGAGTAAAAAACAGTCACAGTAAATTCATTACTTATCTTAAAGTATTTTTAATAATAATGTAGGGAGAGCGATTAGTGGTTATTTGTAGGAAGGCTCAGGAGGAGCGCAGGTAGCGCGTGCTCCCCGTCTCATACTTAATATACGATATTTTAAAACATCCCAGAGAGGTAAAATGCACATACATACACTCATAATTTACCTTAAAATATGTAGTAGTCTTAAATAGGAAGAGAGGCGAGTAGTATTTATTTGTATAAAGTCAGTGTAGGTAGCCAGTAGGTGTAACCTGGGCTACACCTACCGGCTACCTACACTGTGACCCAGAGCCATATTAACATCGACATGCTTGTTCACTGAATTATATCCTTTCTAACCTTTGATGCCATCATAAACGAAGGTAGAAGTAATGAATAATTCATGCCGAAAATTGTAAAAAAAAAGCAGTGGTGGAGTGGCTGGGCCAAACGCAGATTTATACACGTTTTCTCTGATGGCTGAACAGAGAAAACGTAATGTTGTCCCCCAGGCATATAAATATATCACAATAAAATTGCAGACTAACAGTTTACACTAACTTATATTAAGTAGCAATAGAAATAGGCATTAAAATCACAATAAAAGGTAAGATACACACAGAGTACACTTAT